AGAGCCGCCGGCCGCCTCCTGCCGCTGCTGTGCGGGGGGACGAGGAGCAAAGGAGTGTCCCTGAACCCCGGGGTGCCGGGCCGACTCACCCAGCGGCGCTACAAGAAGGACGTGCTGCCTTCACCCGAGGGGCCCGTGCCCTCCGTCTCCATCACCGAGATCCGGCAGTACCTGCGGGCCCAGGGTATCCCCTTCTATGACGGGTACAGCTGCCTGCACACCCCCAGCCTCTTCACCGGCGCCCGGGAGGACCAGCCACCGCCATCCGCCAGCATCCCATACACGCTTTTCATTGACAAGACCACGGGCAGCTTCCTGTGCACGGCCACCCTGGCCGAGGGCACGTGGCAGGACTTCCAGGCTAATGTGGAGCTGCGGCACCGTGGCGTTCCCCCTGCCAGCTCGGAGGAGACAGAGGAGGACATGCGACGGACTCGCGAGGATGCCCGCTGCATCTGGGACCGGGCGCTGCCATTCTGGGAGCTGCTGGACGAGGATGAGACCAACAAGACCAAGGCCATGTTTGGTATCTCCCTGGTGACGGACGCCACCCTGAAACGCTTCGGGGTGCGTTATCTGAGGACTGCCAAGTCCCTCGTCTTCCCCTGGTTCAGTCCCCGTGATGGGACCCTGAAGGGCCTGAAGCTCCTGAGAGCGGAGAAGAAGGGGGATGTGATAGCTTACGTGGAAGAGACTTTACCCCGCTTCGATTCCTATCACAATCTCTTTGGGCTGCCCCTGGTCGGCCGCCGAGACACAGAGCTGGTCTTAACTGGGTGGGAGCTGGATGCCCTGGCCCTGCACCAAGCTACAGGGGTGGCCAGCCTGGCCCTGCCGCGGGGGGCCACCTGCCTGCCCCCCGCCCTCCTCCCCTACCTGGAGCAGTTCAAGCGCATCACGCTGTGGCTGGGCGAGGACCTGCGCTCCTGGGAAGCCGCCAAGCTCTTTGCCCGCAAGCTGAGCCTCAGGCGCTGCTCCCTGGTGCGCCCTGGCAACCTGCAGCCCCGGCCGCTGGAGGCTCTGAAGCAGGGCCTGAACCTCACCAAGATCTTACGTGCTGCCCTGCCCGCTGGCCACAAATCCATCGTCTCCTTCCGGCAGCTGCGCGAGGAGGTGTTCGGGCAGCTGGTCAACACCGAGCAGGTGGCCGGCATCAAGTGGGCACGCTTCCCTGAGCTCAACAAGCTCCTCAAAGGGCACCGCAGAGGGGAGCTCACCATCTTCACAGGTGATGGGCAAATGGCTGGTGGGTGGGGGGAGCAGGGGGCTCTGTGGTGGCTTCATCCTCCTGGGGGTGACACTTTGTGTGTCTTCCAGGTCCCTTTCTGCTTATGGCTTTGGCTGAGCCTGACTTGGCAGTGAGCGAGAGGCTGTGGGGTGTTCCTAGGTGTGGTAGGGCTGGGAACGCTGGTGTAATGACAGGCTCCGTGCCTGGGGCGGCACAGGAAGTCCTGGGGTGTCCCTTACCCCTGCTTCCACCTGCCACCTCCTGTCTGAGCCCTCCCTCTGCCCCACCGCCAGCTGCCTAGCCCTTCCCCGCAGTGCATGTGCACACAGACATGCAGCCTGGCATGAGACACTGCTTGTTTATGGCCGGAGTGCTGCGGGTGGGCTGTTCTTATCCCACTCCCCAGAGCTTCCCCCTCTAAACAACCCCACAGCGCGTTCAGGATGGGCCAGGTCTCCCCCAGCTAATTCCTCCTGTTGTTGTCCTTGCATCAGGCCCGACAGGCAGCGGGAAGACGACCTTTATCAGTGAGTACGCGCTGGACCTGTGCATGCAGGGGGTGTGCACACTTTGGGGCAGCTTTGAGATCAACAACGTCCGCCTGGCCAAGATCATGCTCACACAGTTTGCTGCCCAGCGCTTGGAGGACCAGCTGGAGCTGTACGACGAGTGGGCCGATCGCTTCGAGGACCTCCCGCTCTACTTCATGACCTTCCATGGCCAGCAGAACATCAAGTATGTTCTTCCCCTCTTCGTCCCCAGTGGTGTTTACCCCTCACAGCATGTGCTGCGGGGCCTTGGGGAGCAGGGGCTCTTCCCCTGTGGTGGGTCGCGGATTTGGGGCTGGGCAGAGGCACGTTGGGCCTGTTCAAGTCCCGGGCTTGGCATGGGGGGGACTGTGTGGCTCAACATTTTTTTTCTGTCGTGGGGACTGTCACAGCCTCCCTCTGGGGTGGGGGTGAAGGGAGGGGATTTGTCCCTGTGCTAGGTGGCTATCCTAAATCCAGCCTCTGCCCCTGGCAGGATGTGTCCCTCCCCACACCCTGCTCACCTGGCGGCATTGCCATTTGCTGAGGAGGGAGGACGGGCACCTCCACCAGGTGCTGTGGCGCCTGCACGCATCCCCATGCACCCCGAGGGTCCCCGCGGGCTGGGAGTATCGCGGGATGGTGGGCAGGGGCTGCGTGGGCAGCAGCTGGGTCCTCCTGATCCAGCCGACCTCACCTGTGGGGACGGGGCTGCGCCCGTCCTGCGGCCGAGGAGATGCAGAGGCGGGATGTGCCCAGGGCCCCGTGGGAGCCAGCCTGGTACCTCCCAGCTCTGCCTCTCCACAGCTCAGTGTCCCCATCCCCGCCTCCGCTGATCCCCCGGGGCTGATCTCGGTCTCCCCCCGCCCAGGATGGTGATTGAAACCATGCAGCATGCCGTCTACATGTACGACATCACCCACGTGGTCGTCGACAACCTCCAGTTCATGATGGGACAAGAGCACCTCTCTGTGGACAGGTAGCCCTTCTCCAAGCTGCCCCCTCCTTCCTCTGCCACCCTCGTTGCTGGAGCTGGCCCTGTCGGGCGTCATGGCAGGTTACCTGTGATCCCTATCACGCCCCATCCCTTTGCCCACGTGGACCCATCTGCCCCACGGAGTGTGAGCTCGGACCCCTGGGTGCTTCCTGCCGTGGGGCTGAACCTGACAGCTCCTCGCTGCCCCTGCTCCACATCCACCGAGCAGTTCCAGCCCCTGACCCTGTTCTCGCTGCCGTGGCAGGCTTGCTGCCCAGGACTACATCATTGGTGCCTTCCGCAAGTTTGCCACGGATAACACCTGCCACATCACACTGGTCATCCATCCCCGCAAGGAGGACGACGAGAAGGAGCTGCAGACGGCCTCCATCTTTGGCTCAGCCAAGGTGAGCTGGGCCAGGGTGGCCCTTCCTGTCACTTGGGCACAGCGTGTTCCCAGGAAGCAGCTGGGATATGTTGGGTAGCTGTCCCCAGCTCCCAGCGGCACCCTGAGCAATGGCTGCAGACTTGAAAGGTACTGTGAGGGACAGGATGTCCCCAGGCAGGATGTGGCCAGGCCTTGGTAGGGACATGCAGACAGGGAGCAAACACTTTGCCAGCTAAAGCTCTGTTGGGGCTTTGGGTGCAGTTAATTAATGCTCATTGACTGTGAGTAGGATGTAATACGAGATAATTAAAGAAGGAGCCAGGGAGGGTGTGGGGATGGACTCTCTGAGTGTTCCAGTCTGTGCCGTGATGCTGAACAACCCTGCAGTGGTGGGCAGGAGGTGCTGTGAGTGTCCACAGCCCTCCTGTGCTCTCCAGGGCGAGCTCGGCGGGTCGCTGGGATGTCCCCAGGGCAGACGAGGGGTTGGTGTCAGGGAGGTGCCGGAGTTGCCTGGATGCCCTGTAATGGGGCTCGAAGGAGCTGAGCAGGCAGCCCATGAGCACCTCCGAGCCCTGTGGCTCTGGCTGCATCCCCAGCACTCTCCTGGATATGTATTTCTCTCCCCAGGCCAGCCAGGAGGCCGACAACGTCCTCATCCTGCAGGACCGTAAGCTGATGACGGGGCCAGGGAAGCGCTACCTGCAGGTGTCAAAGAACCGCTTCGATGGGGATGTGGGCGTCTTCCCCCTGGAGTTCAGCAAGGCCTCACTCACCTTCTCGTCCTCTAGCAAAAGCAAGGTCAAGCTGAAGAAGGTGAAGGAGGAGAAGGAGCCTTTAGTCAAGAAAGCCCCAGAGGGAGGCTCGAGAGCCTCCAAGAAGTCATGAGCCTGGCAGGTCTCTTCCTCGTCCATTAGGAGGGACAGGGACTGGTGCTGGGAGCACGGGGCTGGGGTATGCCAGCCCCTCTCCCCCAGGAGCAGCAGCCACGTGCTGCTGTGGCCCTTTCTTCTGCACGAACAAGCCTCTTGGCCACCAGCACGGTGTCTCTGAGATGTGGGGCCACCATGAGAGCAGAGCAGCCAGGGGAGGGTGCTTTGGCAAACACTGGCTGCTCAGTGCTGGTGCTGAGTGCTGGGAGCACGGGGCAGGAGTGGAATTGGCGTGGGCTGGGTGATGGGGAGCACTGACCTGCAGCCCCAGGTCTTGGGCGATCTCTGGACGTTGGCAGGTCGTTAATTGTGGCTAAAATGGAGCCAAAATCCTGGGCTGTCACTGGTGGGAGGGACTGTGGGGGGAGGGACACGACTGTACAGAGGGAGGCACGGCAGGAACCCCCTTGTCACGGGTGGAGTTCTGTGGGCTCAGTCGTGGCTGGGATTGAGCCAGTGAGCGGAAGGTGGTGGAGGGAAGTGTGGGAGGTTGTGGGTGGCTCTTGCACGGGAGCTTCGCGCTCCCCGTGGGACACGGTGGGAGGGTGGGTGCTGGACCCCGGTGGCATCGCTGCTCACGGAGGGTTGAAGGCAGCACTGGTGTCCTGTGCCAGCTCTGCCTGCTTAGCTAACGCCTGTCCCGGCCCGTTTTGCTCAGGGTCTCCCCAGCCCCATTCTCCAGGGAGCATCACCAGCAGTAAAACCTCTGAGGGAGCAGTCCTGCCTTGCTCTGGTGGGCTGGGGGCTGGGAGGGTGACCACCCCCGTGCCCTCTGGGCTGCAGGCAGCAAATACTGTGACCTGGCCAGTCCTCGCCATGGTAGGACAAGTTCATGGCCGGATCTTGGTCTAATACTTTTGGGGTTTATTCCCATTCATAGTTTCGTTAAAACATAAATGTGAGTGCTTTTTCTGTGCTGCTGTCCCTGTGACCGGGAGGGGAGGACGGGGACACCACTGGCTTGAGAGCGGGTGGCCCACAGAGGGCTGGG